GCTCTATGGTTTTCTGCATGCTGAAAACGTGCGGGTACATCTGTGTGAAAGTGTGATAGTGTACGATCCGTGAAAAACGTTATTCCTCGAACTTGCCGTTCGATTTGGAAAAAATATGCTCTCGTCGAAAAATTGCGTGCGTTTAAAAATTAGCTTGATTCCGTGGCGACAGAGAATGCCTAGAAAATAATCAAGGAATCAGGAATACGGGATCCCTTGTCTGTGCAAAGGCTTCCGATCCAAATAAAAATCGTTTAATCGTCACAACGTTGTTTCTTTTCTTTTGTCGAATGTGCAATTGCGTGTTGCGTCTAAAATAAAGGAAAAAAATATCGAGAAAAATGTCCGCTACGTGACCACAGTGTTTCGTGTGAGTTGTGCTCGTGTTTTGAGTGTGCACACAGAAATGTGATTCTGGAAGAGCTATCTGTAACACAGTTGAACGTATCACATATTCGCTCGTTCTGTGTTCACGTGTACCATCGAGTTCCTCGGCCGCCTCGTGTTCGATGTGCCTGCGGTCCCTGTGACGAGTCTGCTTGCGTTGATATTTTGCCTGACACAACTCGCAAAGCGTTCTGTTCCCTGCGGCATTAGCAGACAACGTGTACAGCCTCAGACGTATAGACGAGACAAAAGTGATAGATGACAATAGGCCAATAGCAACGAGAAACGAGAAATCCGGACGTATGTACAATCAACGATTCGGTTCGGTAAACCGTTGAGACACATTTAAGCCTGACAAGTAAGCGTAAGACAACAAAGACGATTCACCGTGGCTTATATATACATTGTGTCCGCGAGACAAGACGATTTTGGCTCGACATCGTTGCTTCCAGAGCAGGAATTAATATACGCAAACGAGTTGCTGGCTGCGGTCAGCAGTTAGTATTCCATCAGCGATTACGGAAATATTTTACAAGGTTGATCAGCCTGGATTGTATCGGGATTCAAGGTACGAAGTGAATCTGCTCCGAGAATTTATCATTTCTGAATGATTGATGTTAACTAATTCGTCATTTCTGAATTATTCATGTTACCAATCTCGATGGCAGATTATTTTCTCAAGAATTAACATACTGCTGCGAACATTTTCAAATATATTATGTATCCGTGACACAAATGAAACATTAAATCAAGTTATTAACTCCCATTAATCAATTAGAATTATCTATGTATTATAGATATCTCCAAAAAAATAGCTTTTAATTGCGCAGGAAAGTATCACAGTATGCTTGAAAATATTTTACGATTTTAGTTTTACTGCTCGCAATAGAGCTTCAATGGCTGTAGCTTAAAGATAAGGGATGCCAGAGTATATAATACATGGGAAGGAAATGTGGAAACGGGGTGTGCAGAGCCACGCAACAGGCTAGTGATACATTCCTGCTTGGCAGTTGGCCACGCCTGTAGGACTGTGAGACTTACAGAAGTACACCGCCAGCGACTCCGACTCTCTAATTAAATTTAAGAGGTCCTCCCCCTCCAAATCTTCGATTACCTCTCCGGAGGGATCTTTTTGTGTCATCAACCACTGTAGAATCTGCTCCTCGTCGTACAAATCACCTACGATCACCAATTGAATTATCGAATCAGAAATTGGGAAGCGTTTCTTTTTTTTACTTTTCTACAGGTATCTATTTTGATTTTCTTTAGTACCTGCATAGATAACCGGTTCCTTCGAGGACATCTTAAAGAACAAAATGGCAGGCAGTGCGAACACGCCGTACTGCTTAGACAGCTGTTTGTCGTCGATTTTCACAAACTTGATTCCCGCCCCGTCAGCTTCATCATCGATATGCTCGATCTCTGCCAGCACCCTGCCACATTGTTTGCAGTCGTTGCTGTCTAAACATACGCGCGCCGCCGCGTTCGAAACGCTCGAAAGTCTCATTTTATTTAGTTAAATACAATTTTATAATACCATCTTATTGGAACATTTCCCTTTGAAAATGCTCGTAAGTGTTACTAGTAAAAAGAACAGCAGAAAAGAAAAGTGGAAAGGAAAGCGAACGAAACATTGTCTCCATCAAACTGATTTAACTGTCGATCTGAAGAGGCTACCCGTTTAATTGAATTCGTTTAAGACTCTAATTGTGAGTGATACTCGAAGTTCTTGTTCCATTGGGTCGATCGTGTCCCAGATTCGATACTCACAGAAAAACACAGCCAGGTAGTCAGTCGTCTGTCGTATCTTCTGGAACATCTTCTTGTTAATTCGTTCAATGTGGTCGGTGAGCTCCATGTTCTCGGGATTGGTCAGCCAATCGAGGATCTCCTCCTCATCGTCTATGTCTCCGTCGTAGTTGATGTTCTTCCCTTTGCGGAAGTACGTGATGCCCGGCGGGTTCCTGAATCCATACTTCTTCGCCATCAACCGATCCTTCATCCTGACAATCTTTATGCCGTACTCAGCCGCCTCATCGTCGATCAACTCGACGTGCCTGAGCACTCTAGGACTCTCTGGATCTTCCTCCTTGTCTACGAAAGCGAGATATCTCTTTTCGTTTCGAATCGACGCGTCCCATCTCTTTTCGTTCTATCGACCTTCTATGCATCCCTCATTTTACCGTTCTCGACGGGATTCGACAGTTTCACGGATGGACAATAATGATTAAACCGTTGAACCTATCCGTTAAGTAGCAAAGCATGGCAAAACAGAGACTTCGAGAAGAATGAATGAAATTGGTATTTAACTTTCGACTTGGCAATAGTTACAGTGAAATCAGTCCCTTTTGACTTTGTGCTGGGTGAACTAGTCTAAGAAACCGGGAATTCGTCTAAATATATACAATCCACTAATTATATACAACGTTTCCTATAAATTCGTGTGATATCGCGTGATGGTCAAGACTTAAGGGGTGAGTGCGATCGGAAACTTAAGTTCTCAAACGGTTAAATGATAGATGAAACGTTATCTTTTGCGGATGAAACGCAATTTACCGATACCCGTTACAAGATTATACCTTTACTTCGAATCTTCCGGTAACTCGTGTTAATTACGTATTTAATTCTTACTTACCCATGAAGTCAGAGTTAGAACTAGCGAGTCCGTTGTAAGAAGAAGATTGTTTAACTTACCGCGAAGGGCATGCAACTATCGTGATAGATTTTCAACAGGAGAATGAACAATGTCTTACAGAAAACAACAGCCAGGAATTCTTTCGTCTCGATATACTTGGTGAGCGTATCGCGATCAATCTCCTCGATGCTTTCGTCCGTCTTCTGCTTCACCATCCAATCGAGCACCTCGGTCTCGTCGAGCAGATTACCTAAGTTACCAAAGATTTGCACGGGTATACTTCTGATCCTATTCGAAATTCACTCTTCCCTTCGATCAGTTACAAAATCCTCCCTCGACTTCGACGAGTCATGGATATAAAATCGTTAACGGAGGGTTTCGTAAAAGGAAAAACGCCAACGAACAACGTTCTTCTCTACTCGTTCGTTCAACGCGAAATCCGCATTGTCAACGATCTGGAATGGCTATTCGTTTTCACGTGAAATGAATCTAGGAGATTTCTGGGAACTTACCACGCAGCTACTCGGTGTCAATGGCACAGAGGTGGGAAACAATCTGATTACACGTTACCGAGGACGATTCGAATATAAATAATCTTTTAGTCATCAATGGTTACTAATCTAAAAATAAAATTAGATAATTCATTATTACAATAAAACTGAATTAATAGCTATACGCATTAATCTGCGATCGAGTCGAGATTTGCATTTCGATCGTTAGTATGTGATCAGATTACATTTTCCCCAACTCTGCAACGGGAGTGTCACAGGTTCGATACACATAATCATAGATCGTTCGCGCTGCGACACACGCGATGGAAGATCGGCATCGTTCGAGATGTGAAATTCTGGCCTTTGCGAATGTTGCGATTAGCTGTGAAAGTTTGTCCAGAGTTTCGTGAAACGTGTATCAAGCATATAATCTCTAACAAGCTTCCAAGCTCGGTTGGGTGTCCTATTAGTCTACTTAAAGTAATGATGATCGTGGGGTATGATTGATACGTATTACTGGAGTTGTACAACGAAACCATGATAATTTTATTGTAAAATTCGGTGCATATTTGGAGTGAAATCTACGGGCAATACGGGGTGGAACGGAACTCTACGACTACCATTAGCGGTAACGGGCGAAGCAAAGTACAAAGGATACTAATTGGTACTAGGAAACATATTTATTATCGAGTTTATTGTCGTACATGTTGCTCTTATGCGATTAACGAGGACGCTGTGTATCCGGCGGCTTATGGTCGGCAAACTGCGCAAACGTTTACGAGCAATGAACAAAATCTCCATGCCTGATAATCGTGATCACAGACGCAGCGCGATAACTAAAACTCGCAATCACCAAAATCCGTTAATCCTCTTCCCTTCGATCGATTCTTTCTCACAAAAAAATATTTCACAACGCTCCTTTCGTATACCATATCGAAACTGTTCTCGAAATTTTCGTCGGTTAATTATCGCGCCCAGAGCTAGGTGACCGTGTCACGGGTATGTACATTACAGTGTCCGCGCGAAGTAGTTTTGTACAGATTATCGGCATTCAGCGGTACGGAAAAACAACAAATAAAGTATACTCGTATAAATAAATAAATAAATAAATAAATAAATAGATAAATAAATAAATAAATAAATAAATAAACAAATAAATAAATGGATAAACAGGTGAGCGTGTTTCTTTTTTTTTCCTGGTGTCCTATCGTCGACGGTTCAC